AACCCATAAAAACTTATGGATGCCAGCCATGAAAGCCTTCAATTTCTGTTCTGATTTGTCAAACCACCAAAAGTGTCTCATATACTCAGAAGAAAACCAGAAAAAACTTGAATCACTAATTTAAGAACCTTATAACTAAATTTGTTGACCAGAAGAACATATATTTAGACGTCAGAATTATGAATGTAAATGTTCTAGGAGTTGAAATAGGTTTGGTCAAAATGTGATGGCACCTATTTTGTGAACAAATTCTGTACAGACTATGCTGAAGTTTGGATAATTAGACCACAGAAAGTCTGAAGTCTTATACAAAGGAGTTGTTTTGTTATTTGCACAAATCAGAAAAGGCATTTTATAACACTTTATTACAGGTTGCTACAAGTTATTACAGATTATTAAAGGTACACAAGACCTTTTCATGAACAAACGTCCCTTTGCTTTATATATATATAAAAAAAGCCATGGGAGAAGAGGAACAAGATGATGTTCAATGGAATTGTAATAATAAAGAACAGTGAGAACAGGGATGCAAAAGCCACTGAACACACTGATGAGTCCTGTCATCATTCAATTTGGCATCCATACTTCCTTGTGATTAGCTAGAATTGCCAGTCATAAAACTCTTCCATCCTGGAAGAGCTTTTGGAAAATGAGACAGTTTTCAAAGACACACGGAGGTATCCAGCCAAATCCAAATTGCTAATGAATCTTCAGGATGTTCACATCTGGATTCAGAGCTCAAAGAAACTTTTGGACATCTTCCCGGTCTGTTGAAATCATACTGATTTGGTTCTAGATTCAGAGTTCACATTAGTCTGACAAATAGCCCTAATCTATAAAATGACATTCTGCCATCAACTTTAATCCTGTCTTAAGATGTGATTTTGATCAAACAGGGAGTCCTTCATTATCATTTACTAAGGTTTACTCATTCGATTGGTTAAACTGTATATGAGAGATGAAGGCAGAGGCAACGGAATTCCAAATTCTCCTCCAATTTACCAGTCCAATTATTATTATTATTATTAGCTTTATTTATTAAGCGCCGTAGATGTACATGGCGCTGTACAAAACCAAATAAAATCCAGAATATATAAAAAGCCTGCCTGTGGCGTACAATCTAAAAGTAAAACAACAAATTAAAACATCATAAAAACAAGTGAAAACATCAAATATCAATATTAGGTCACGCATCAGGAACAACCAGGTCACGATCATAGACAGGTCACGATTTTTCCATTTCAATTAGGATGAAATGGAAGAACCCTAGCTATCTCTCTAAATTGCATCCTTTAAATGTATTTACTGAAGAGAACTTTTTAAATTTCAAGTAGAGCAAAGTTGAAAAACCAGCTGGGCTGCTGAGTTAGATGCTAGGACAGGGGTAGGCAACCCAAGGCCCGGGGGCCAGATGCGGCCCCCCAAGGCCTTTGGACCAGCCCCATGTCAGTCCTGCCACCACCGCCACCACCCCCCGCTGCCCGCCATGATGATATTGATTATTGTTGTTATTAC